TTCTGCCTCCTGCTTCTACTTCCTTCTGCCTTCTGCTTCCTTCTGCCGCTTCTGCCCCTTTCTGCTGCTTCTGCCTTCTACCTTCTTCTGCCTTCTTTCTGCCTCTGCTCCTGCTCTCTTTCTCTTCTTCCTACCTTCTGCCTGCTCTGCCAGCCCAGCTCAGCAAGTCTTTATTTTTTATACTTAAAATTACACAGTACATGCATTGACACTTTTATCTTTTCTTGAATTATTACACAGTTAGTCACAACATTCTTGCACCTGGTCCTTAGACAGCCTTAACAAGAATACTCTGTGATGTTCAGACTGACCTTCATCTCTTTTCCCAGTATGAGATAAAACTGTTTCTTCTTGTTTCTACTGAAAGACTATAAACTTCTATCCTACATAATGTGCTATTATTTTTATAATAAAGGTATTCATTAAATCACTTGGAAGCTATGTGGCATAAAGCCCAACCTGGCTACTTGCTGCAAGAAGTGTAGATTATTAAGTCAAAACTATCCTTCACTTAAGTTCATTATTGTCTGCTTGTTTATGCAGGTGTCTGTATGTAGGGGTTTCAGAATTCTAGCTAGTGATTGAATGTGGTGAGGCCTATGGGGGTGGGTCAGCTTGACTCTAATATGCTATCTGCTTTTGTGGCCTCACAAATGCAGTTACTTAGGTTTTCTAATGAAAGGGAGTAATTTACACAATTTCTCTTTGTATTCAATTCACCAAGGCTGAAAGCAATTGCTGCTAAGCTAGTTTTTCCTAAGGTTTGTAGAATTCATAGTGAAAGCTGTGCATATTGCCATATTATATATTTTTTCAAGTAAATTCAGGGCTAACTTTAAGGGAAGATAGGGGTCAGTTTTTGAGAGTCATTTGCCATGCATAATGTCTCTCCCCCCAAGTGTGGCCTTGCCAAGCAATGAGAGTTAAGCGCTCCCCGCACTGGTGATCTACTGATCTACTGATGACCCCGTGGGTCACAGCAGTCTGATACAGTGCTGGGAGGTGAGCCCCCTGGATTGGAAGGCACTTCGCAACAGCTTCAACAAGGGACTCAAACATGTTAATAGTCCTGAAGCTGGCACAGGACTGGGTACCATCAGATCACCAGGTATCAGAACTGACTCAGTGCAACAACAACAACATCCCCTGTGGTATATAGATCATGCCAGGATTAGGTTGCTAGCAACAGAAAGGGAATCTGCCTCACATTAAGGGAAACGAAGGAAACATTTTGGAAATGTACACTGAGTGTCTCATAATATATCTTGAGAAGAATAGAAACAAAAATAGCCCCGGGGATCTTGTAGTTGGACACTGTTAGTCTTCCCTGCCCTTCTCCACTCAGGATACTCTGGTAGAGGATGATCCTCTTGGCTGAGCCGGGGCCACGTGCCCTCCACCATGGACGGAGACGTGGGTTCCTCAAGCAGCAGCTACTGAGGAGATTTTGAATCTCACAGAGGGATTACTTACTTTATTAATCACGATTCTCATGTTTACACAGAACTCTCTTTCCCTGGTCTCTCCAATACCACAGCTGGTCATCATGTGTGATGGTTGTAAAAAACAAAAGGAGAAAATCAGTGCGCAGTGATGAAGTGTGGAGTTAGGGAGAGCAGAACAGGGAGTCATGTTTTGGGAAAAGAAAAAAAAAAACAAGTGCTCGTTCCCTTAAGGTTATCTGTGAGGAAAATGTAGTACCTGTTCTAAGGCAGAATGGCTATTCCAATAGTCCTTGGGTATAATTAGATAAGCATCATTTCCCAGATAAGATCATGCTTTCCTTGCTAATTGTTTTATGTTAGATTATAAATCCTTGGCATTTAAAGACTCTGCACATTCCAGTGGACTCTTCCTGAATTCCAGGTGGAATTCAGTAAGTAAGGGAACGCCTCAGGCTATTATCTGTCGGAGCCATAGCCCAACACCAGATTTGAGATTCGGTTTTCAGGGCTGCCAGACAAGATATTTAAATTAAGAAAACAGCCCTGGGTAGCACTGTGGCCACATGAGTCCTTCCTGAAGCTGCCTCTTCCCTAGACCTGCTTCTCTCTCTAGGAAAAGTCCAAACTTAACTGACCGAAAAACGTTCAAAGATCCTCCTTGTCCTGCGACGAATGACCCAGAGGAAGATGAGTCAGAGGAGATGCCCAGAAGACTGGTACAAAGGTGCTCGGAAGAAAAGGGATCTCTAAAATCCATTCATGTAGAAGGACAAAATACAAGCGGGCTTCAACAAGTTCATGGAGAAAATCTCTTTAATTTTTTAGCTCCATTTTTTCCACAAACGTTTTGAATCTCCCTCATATGTACCCAAAACAGAAGAAGATTTTAAAAAAAAATAAAAAAAAAGCACAATTTGAAAGTCAAGGTCAAGAGCATTAGCAGAAACCTAAGAAAGAATGGAGTTGTATGAAAGAAAAAATAAATAAAAATAATTTCCTCAGATTGTAACTAGCATTTACAACTGGAAAAGCTGGACAGACAGACAATGACTCAAAAGTCTTGAAAAAGATTTGGGGGTGGTGGAGGAGGAAAGGATTTTTATCAAAATTATTGTCCACAAGAAAAAAAAAAATCTTGTTGAACATTCACTTTGCTAAATAAAGAAAACAAAACAAAAAAACCTTAAGAAATGCTCACCACAGACCAAAATATTAACTCAAATGTGGATTTCTGACCCTTAACAAAGGATCCTTGCGCCAGATGCTCTGATCTCATCTCTTGGCAGAGGCCCAGAAAGCTTTCTCTGAATTAACAGAAGGTCCACAGAGATGCTCACAATTCTAGGAGGGGGTGGGAGTTACTCTCCATTCTAAGATTCGGACCCTGAGGCTTGCAGGTGGGCTGCCTGGCCCCAAGCCTACCCTCCTCACATGGTTTCTGTCAGAACATCACTGACGTGTGGTGGTCATTCTGACCAGGGAGCACATCCTGTCTGGAGCAGGCAGATGAGCAGGTGCTCCACTGTGCTGGCTTAGCCTCTGGGGGGACTGGGAGGCAAAAGGTCCACCATTCTCCAGATAACTATAGGAGACAACCCTGGGAAGTCTGCCATCCTTCTACCTTTGACCTACCCCCCGAAGACTCCCAAAGTGACCTCCAGCTGGGGTCACCCAGCTCTGTCCCATGACCTCTGGTCCCTGCTGACTATGTGAGATGGTGTTGTATTTACCCCTGGGAAAACCTGCACCTTGTAGAGTGTAACCAGCATGCCTGTAAAAACTGTTGAAACAGTGTATCTTTGTTGTGATACTTTTAAAACATCAACAAGAGAAGCCACCACTGCTGTGGTGGTACTGATAAAAACAACAATGCTTCAGGATGGTTGAGCCCTGAGCTGTCTCCCTCACCTCTCTGATAAGAAGCTTCTTGGAGGAAGATTTTATCTAAGGGTTTGCAGAGGATTCCGTGAATGCAAATGCCATTGGCCCCCCTAGTCTGGGTGGAGAGAACTGGGTGTTGGTTTCTCCTGCAGGCAAATGCATGTAATGACTTTAAGTGTTCCTTCTCTGCTGGACAGCTCTAGGACTAGGCGTTTGTCTTCAACAGAATCACAACCAACTCTTACTTGGATTTTGTGGGAACTGTAGTTGAAGACAGAGCTGGGACCTGGGAGGAAGCCTCACTGCAGGGCCCACCTTTTGCCAAACTCTGATGCTACCAGGTGATGCTGTGATTCAGTCACTGCAAAGTGAGTGGATAGACCTCACTCCGGGTCCCGCCTGCTCACTCGGACCACATGAAAGTGATTGGAGGACTCTGGGAGAAAACACATCCATGGGAAGGCATGTGTCAGACTGGCATTAACACAACATTTACTACTTGTGCTACCCTGGTGGTACATTTGATCTATGAAGGTAATAAAATAGTTGGTTCCAAAGTTTATCTCCGCATGATCTGAAAGGTAATTTTCACAGGCATTTTTTCCATTCTTCAGAAAGATTTCTCCTTACAGTCATGGGCAAGAGTGGCTTTGGGAACTATCTGGAAAAAAAGTAAATTTGATGTAGACCCACATGAACAAAACCAAACATTTTTGGGGAGAAAGTAGTGTGCCTCCCCCTCCCCCTTTCTTATGGTGGTGTACCCAAACTTTATTGCTCAAAACAAAAGGTGTTTAATAATTACCTTTGTTGACCTCTGTACCTTCTGGCTTTCTCCACTCCTGGGTATAAGACATGCCCATTCCTAGGTTGCAACTGGGCAGACGCAGGCAGGCGGCCAGGCCAGCAGTGTTTCTCTGGATCAGCAAGGTCAGAGGAGAAGGTGGGCCTAGGAGGGGAGAGAAACCTGCCGTTCTTTTGACAGGCCTTCTTTCAGGGAACTCTGAGCAACACATTTTCCACATTCTTCACATCACTCAATCAGAAAATTCTCATCCTATGGATCTACCAGGCTTGGGTTGGCTTAATGATCTTGGGGAGACATTCTGAGCACTAAGAATATTGTGGTATAATTCATCTTTGTTTTTTAACTTTTGAAAAAAAATTAAGTTGCACCATGAAGGTAAAAACGACTTTCAAGCATGGCACTTGAAGAGATATAACAGGGTCTGTCAGTAAGGGGCTGGGGGGCTAATGGGAGAGTGGTAAACACACATCTGATTTGGAAATGAAAATTGTTGTTGTATGTGCTGTCAAAGTCAGTTCTGACTCACGGAGACCCTGTATAGGGTTTCCAAGAGTGGCTGCTGGTAGATTGAAACTGCTGACTACATGGTTACCAGTCCAGTGCTTAACCTAACACCAACACCAGGGCTCAGGAAATTACTTTCATGGTAACGCGGGAAGCTCCTTTTCCTACGGCCTGAACAGAAGGAAGGTTAATGACTAGACTACAATTTATTCCTGGGATGGAGCAAGTCACATTGGTACTTGCCTAAAATCTGAGCTGGCACTAGCTGTCACTAGCAGAAGAACCCTGGCCAGAGAATTTGCTGACTGGAGATCCACCCCCACACCCTCCTTGCAGCTTCCTAGAACTGGCAGGATTGGAAAATGGGGGAGACACACCTGAGGAAAAGGAGGGAAGATGAGAAGTCGATCCAGAGTGAGGCACCTAAGACCACAAATCTCCAGAAACAGGTAAGGCGGTCTCCTTTGGGGAAGATGGGGGGACTTCACAGGTTGTTGTTGTTGGTGATTGTTAGGTGCCGTTAAGTCAGTTCTAACTCATAGGGGCGCTGTATAGGGTTTCTGAGGAGTGACTTGGTGGGTTTGAACCACCCACCTTGTGATTCAGTGCATTCACAGGTTGATGGTGGTGGTGTGTGGTGAAGTGGGTTCCACTCATATCGACCCTGCACAGGGTCTCTGAGCCTATAAATCTTAATGGGAGCAGAAAGCCTCATCTTGTGCCCATGGAACAGCTGGTAGTTTCGAACAGCTGACCTTGAGGTTAGCAGCCCAACTCGTCACCACTATGCTACCAGAGCTCCTTTCACAGGTTGACAGAAGGTGTTTTATTTTTTAACTTTATTGTGAATTGAGTGAAGGTTTACAGAGCAGATCATCAGTTTTACACTCAACAAATCATACGCTGTGTTTCATCTCAATGACTGCGGTTCTCCCCACGCAGCATCACTTATCTAGCTTCCTCCCTGCCATCAATGAAGGTTGTTTTTACGAGGTGCTCAGACAGAGTGAAGTTCCCACTAATCCTCAGTGACTAACAAAAGGAAGTGATCTTTGATTCTTAAGGTACATCTCTAAAGGAACAATTCTTTGGACTTACTTCTTTCCCTCCCTCCAGTGAACTCAGCATGTTGTTTTGAAGATAATGCTTATGTACTTTCCTACCCTGGCAAATATCTGGAGGGGTCAGCATCTGCTCAGATTAGTGGACTATCAGGGAGGTGTGGATGGTACTGTTTGAGTCTCTGCTATTCACCTAGTATCTGTCCGCATGTTTGAAAACCTCTGTAGGCTAAGCACTGGACTAGAGTCCTGGTGAAGAGTTGTAGAAGAAGCACTTGACTGCTAACTACTAGGTCGGTGGTTCAAACTCACCATCCATTCCTTGGAAACCCTATGCAGGGTCACTATGAGTAGGAACCAACTCCATGGCACTTTATAACACCACCACCAGTAAATGCAAGGTTAATGGTTCAAACCCACCAACCATTCTCAGAAATCATAGGATTTGCTCTCAGTCGAAACTAGCTCAACAGCACACAGTAACAACCATGACGGGAGGGTCAGCAGGAAACATGGCCTGGCCCAGTGACAGGAACAACTGTGAGGATGGTACAGGATCTGGCAGTATTTTGTTCTGTGGCTCATAGGGTCGACTCAACGACACCTAACAACAGTAACAACAGCAAGTTATGGGAATGAGTCCCTGGGTAGTGTTACTGAAAGGTTGGAAGTTCAAGTCTGCCCGGAGGCACCTTGGAAGAAAGACCTGGTGATCTGCTTCTGAAAACCCAGCCATTAAAATTGGGCGTGTTGTTGCTAAGTGCCCTCCAGTTGCTTCCAACTCATAGCAGCTGTGTATAAGGTTTCTGAGGAGCAATGGGTGGGTTTGAACAGCCAACCTTGAGGTTCAAACTGACCTCGCGGTCTAGTACTTATCCTACAGTGCCACACCCAGACTGGAAACAAATTCTACTCTAATGCACGTGGGGCTGCCATGAGTCCAAACTGTAACTGCTGGTTACAGGTAGTGACGGGAAATGTGCTCCCTGTGGAAATAGCCTGTTCCATGGCACAGCCCCAGAGGAGCACTCAGAGTTCATGACTTAACGCTGAGGTATGAGATGAGCCAGAACTGGCACCGTTCCTGGAAGGAGCAAGTGAAGACATGTACTAGTCCCACATATGGTGGATGGTGGGGAGCAGCGGGCCAATGGGCTGATCTCTGAGCAGAGTCTCTGGGAGACTCTACAGGTGAGGAAGCTCAGTGTTGGGGGGTGGACGGGGAGGGGGGGGGGGGAGGAGCAGAGTCTCTGGGAGACTCTACAGGTGAGGAAGCTCATGTCTGGAACCCAAGGGGATGAAGGAAGGAAGGCACAGAGGCTTTGGGGGATGATGGGGCAGGAGCATGGCCTACAAGCTCAGAGTCCCAGGTGTCAGGTGACCTGAGGTCTACAGGGTTAGGCTTTCCTGAATCCAGAGATGTCTCTCAAAGCCGAGGTGGCGCTTGGGTCACACCAAGACACAGCTGAGCAAAGCCCAAGTGTGTTCTAGACTTAGCTAGGTGGGTGCCCGGTGAATGCTGACCTTGCCCAGATTAGAGTCTCCCAGAATGCTTAGCAGGAGGAAGATTCTGGAAGGGTGTTAGTGAGCCAGGCTGTCAACCTTGAGGGTGGAGTTGTGGAGGCAGGGCTGAAGTCCCCGGGAGGGGCAAGTGGTGGGCAACCAAAAGGTTGACGGTTCTAACTCACCCAGCAGCACCTGGGGAGCTTCCACACAGGTTACAGCCAAGAAAGCCCGGGGGAGCATTTCTACTCTAAGTCACTAACCAACAACAAGAACAAAATCAACAAGAAAGAAGCGGTCCTGAGTCTGCCCTCAGCTGGCCTTTAAGGCCCATAATGGAGCCAACACTGCTCCCCAGCGACCCCAGGGGCGGATGACCCCATAAGCAAGGTAAGCACAAGTTTACTTGTGCCTACGTATTAACCTGTAGTGAACAGTTTCACATGGGTTTCACCATATCGTGGATGTGATGGAAAACACGTGGAACTATTTACTACTGATTATTAATAAGCACAGGTAAGCCCATGCTTACCTTTCTTTTAAGTAATCCCATAGTGTGCGCCACATCTTGGGGTGGCAGTCACAGCTGGGATCCTCTTGGACCATAAGCTGGGCCTCTGTGGTGTCAGGTGGGCCCACGGTCAGGCCTCGTAAGCTTTCTAAGTGCTGACCTGAGTTACACATTCTCCTTCAAAAAAAAAAAAAAAAAAAAGTTTTTTTAAATCGTGATTGATGTACAATTTATATAGGTTTGTGGACTCCTGGTGTGGCACTGTAGGATAAGTACTGGACTTCCAACCACAGGTCAGCAGTTCAAACCCACCAGCTGTTCCTCAGAAACCCTATCTATACAGGGTAGCTATGGATTGGAACCAACTCAACCACACTTAACAACATGTAGATTTATAGGTGGTGCAAGCAGTTGACAATCAGCTGGTAAACTAAAGGTTGGCAGTATGAACCCACCCAGTGGGTCCACAGAAGGAAGGTCTGGTGATCTCCTTCCAGGGAGTTTACAGCCAAGAAAACCCTATGGGACAGTTGCTGTCTCTCACATGGGGTTGCCATGGTCAAAATCAAGTTGCTGGCAAAATTGGGTCTTGGTAAGTTTTGTTGTTTTGTGCTGACGAGTCGGTTCTGATGAATGGTGACCCTGTACAGGGTGTCTGGGTCTGTAAATCTTTACAGGAGCAGAGAGCCTCATCGTACCCTCTCAGAGTGGCTGATGGATTTGAACCACTGATCTTGTGTTAAGCAGCCCAACATGTAACCCACGTACAGTGAAACACACAGATTTTTCGAGTTCCGTTTGAGTGCCTCCAGCCCTGATTTCTATCACCGAAGATCCTTTTGGCCTGTTCTCAAACTTTGTATACATTGAATCAGACAGTGTGCTGGATTTATTCTCAGGACACTCACACCCACAGGAAGCCTCTGTCCACACTGCCTCTGCCCTGGCAGTCCTCTGTAGCTCACCCCCATGTGACCCCAAGCCCTGGACCTCACTTTCTGCTCTTCTCCGCTTGGCTAGAGAAGGGTGTTCTGAGAGCCTTGCTCACCGGTGACCACTTTGCCAAGTCTGCCTTTCCTTTCGGCACCCTTTCCTGAAGGCAGCAGAGACAGTGGTTAGGAGCCTGAGCACTTAGCTAATGTCTCTGTGCCTTCTCAGGCTGTGTGAGGTCACTTCAGCAGCACAGGTGACAGTACTTCATCACACACACCCCAGACCCTGCTGAGAGATGGGTGTGGGACTGGAATGAGCCAGGTGGAGACTTGCGTGGGCAGCAGCACTCATGGGTCACCCCCTTCCTGCACACACAGGTGGGTCTCATCAGCGGCATCTGCGTCATCGTGGGCACCACCATTGGCTCCGGCATCTTCATCTCCCCCAAGTCTGTGCTCAGCAACACGGAGGCTGTGGGGCCCTGTCTCATCATCTGGGCAGCCTGTGGGATTGTGGCAACTCTGGGTAACACACCCACTCCCTGCTGACTGGAGGCGGGAGGGAGGCAGCTGCTGGAGCACTCTCTGTGCGCTCTCCTGGCTGCTACTGGTCCCCTGCCAACGTTCACGCAGCAAATATGTGTTAATCGGGCTGCGACAGAAATGTCCAGTGGCCAGGACTCAGGGTCACAGCGGGCCCCTGTGAGCACCCAGGAGGGAAGGGATACCTCTCAAGGGCCTGGGCTCTTCCCTTTCTTCCAGGTGCTCTGTGCTTTGCGGAACTCGGCACTATGATCACCAAGTCAGGGAGTGAATATCCTTACTTGATGGAGGCCTTTGGCCCCATCCCTGCCTACCTCTTCTCCTGGTCCAGCCTCTTCGTCATCAAGCCCACTTCCTTTGCCATCATCTGCCTAAGTTTCTCTGAGTATGTCTGTGCGCCTTTCTACCCAGGCTGTGAGCCACCCAAGGCCGTGGTCAAGTGTCTGGCTGCTGCTGCCATCCGTGAGTATCCCAGCAAGTCTCTGGGTGGGGTCACACATGTTGTCTTTTCTTGGGCTCCTTGAGCCTAGAAGAGGCCCCTTGGGCCCAGGAGCACTGGTGAGAATCAGGCAGAGCTGTCTTGGTCCAGAGCCTCATGACCCCTGTCTGCGGTGGAGAGGGGACTGCACCTCCAAAGGCCCTTCCCTACCCTTGGCTCAAGACCCCATTGCTCCTTGATGGCTCTCTGATTTGCCCTTTCAACATTCAGATAAACATGGACATGCTGGCTATGGCAGGCTGGGAGTGAGGCTGAGCTGGGACAGAAATAAAACTCTTTCCAGGGCGATGCTGAGCCCATAAATAGAACATTCTCCCACCTCTAACTTGCTTTCCAGTGCTCATCACAACTGTGAACTCGCTGAGCGTGCGGCTGGGAAGCTATGTCCAGAACATCTTCACCGCTGCCAAGTTGGTGATCGTGGTCATCATCGTCGTCAGCGGAATGGTCCTCCTGGCCCAAGGTGACCTTCACAAGTGGGGAGGGTGGGCACCACACAGGCATGGGCCTCCTACTAACTGGAGCACTCTTGCTCAGTAAACTCCTGATGTGGTGCTGTGGGATCAGCCCTGGACTGCAAACCACAAGGTCGGCAGTTCAAACCCACCAGCTGCTCTTTGGAAACCCTGTACAGGCTCACTATGAGTCCACAGCATTTAGCAACAACTAGGAAGCAGGATCCCAACACAAAGCAATTTTTTACATCCCAAGTTTTCATGAATCATACATTCTGTTTTATGAAGTTGAGTGCAGAGTTGCATTCTGACCAGCTGACTGACACCTACTATTCACCATCTGGCTTAATTGCAGGAAATACGAAGAATTTCGAAAATTCTTTTGAGGGTTCGAAAGTGTCTGTGGGAGCCATCAGTCTGGCATTTTATAATGGACTTTGGGCCTACGACGGATGGTAAGGCACTCCTGAGAAGCCAGCTCAATCTGGTCCTGGCTTTCTGTAGGCATTTGTAATGTAAACCACTTGGAAAGCAATTTATTCTTCTTTCTGGGGTCCGATATGGCCATAAAATTCATCTTCACATCTCCCTTTTATTAAGCACCCTTCTGAGCCCAAAGCCACCTGTCCCTCTCTCAGTCCTTACAGGGTGCTTCGCAGAGCTGGAAGCAGCCAGGGTGGCCCACACACTTGACAAGACAGAGACTATTCAGTGGCACTTCTATCCCAACCTTAAAAGTATTCCGTTTAGTACATGAGATTCTATTTATTCTGTCTATTAATGGAAGATGCATGACCATTGCAAAGTGGATCTCTCTTTCTTCTAAAACATCTGCAAATTTCAATACCTTTTCAGATGCAGAATCTTCCATTTTTCAAAGGACCATGAGCACTCACTACTCCCAACTCCCAGGAAGGGCAAGACTTGACCCATTGCCAGACATGTAGGTCTAGTGGACCCCACTTTCCACCTATCACCAGAGCCTTGCTGGATAGAAATTAACCCGGTGTTTGTTTCTGCAGAAGAGTTTTTTCTCTGTGGTGGGGAATCATTTATTTTTTTAAAAAAACATTTGATTGCGTTTAAGATTCCTGTTCAATATTGTCGACACAAATTTTTCAGTGACGGATAGTCACATGATTTCTGTTCTGTTCTTCCATTTCCATTATTCTAATTTCTCTGACCCTGAACATTCTGGACTTTGTTTTGTTTTTTAAAGGAGCACAGTATTCAAAGGTGATGTCTTTTTATTTTGTGAGCCAATCTGCTATTGAGCTGGTTTTGTTTCAAGGTTTTAAAGAGTATTAGAGCCCACCAGTCCCAACTGCTTCAGTAAGTCTTTGTTTTTTTAAAGAATATAGTTCCACATTTCTCCTGTTCCACACACATTCCTGTTCCACCTTTCTCCTATTGCTAGCAGCCCCCATCTACCATGGCCTTGATTAGAGTAGCGGTAGTGGTAATCGGACATCTAGTCCCCCTCTTGGCTAGAGGAGGCTCATGTAGATGATTAGTCCTGTAGACTAGATTTTTCTCAAATGAGGCTAACAATTACTGCTTAGCAAAGAAACTGCAAGTTAGGTTTTTCATACTACTTAAATATATACGCTAGACTGCAAAATCAGTTTGAACTGCATGGTTGGCGGTTCAAGCTCACCATTCGTTCCCTGGAAACCCTGTACAGGGTCGCTATGGGTTGGCACTGACTCAACCGCACTTAACAGCAACGACATACAGCATGTAAGGAGTTCTGGTAGCATAGTGGTTATGAGTCAGGCTGTTAACCTCAAGGTCAGAAGTTCGAAACCACCCGCTGTTCTATAGGAGAAAGATGAGGCTTTCTGCTCCTGTAAAGATTTACAGCCTTGGAAACCCTGTGCAGAGTTACTATGCATGGAACCAACTCCACAGCACATAACCACTTATTTTTTTGTGCTTTTGATGAACGTTTACATAGCAAATTAAGCTGCCACTTGACAATTTCTATACAGACTGTTCTGTGACTTTACACTTTTTCACAATGTGCCAACATTCTCTTTAATTGCATTCTGGTTTTTCCATTTCCAGCACTCTAGTTTCCCTGCCCCTTTATCTTCTCATCTTTGCATTACAGTAATTGTTGACCTTTGGTCTCCTAGAGATGTTTTTTTTTTTTTTTTTAATGGAGTACTATACTCATAATCTGTGTGTGCCAATCCCCTGAAGGTAACCTCAGGGGATTGTTTGGGTTCAAGGGTTAAAGAGCATCTCAGGGCAATAATCTCAGTGTGTCCTCTAATCTCAGTTGGTTCAGTTAGTCTGGACTTTTTAAGAACTTAAGTTCTGTTTCGTGCTTTTCTCTTGTTCTATCAAGGTCCATCTATTGTGGTCCTGACCAGAATGGTCAGTAATAGTAGCTGGGTACCATCTAGTTCTTCTGGTCTCAGAAGACTATTCATTCTTCAGTTTCTTCTCTAAATCTTGGGTTTCCTTCTTTCTCTTTTACTTCTGATGAGTTGCTTGCAGACTTTTAAGACCTCAGACACTACTCAACAGGATACAGAACGTGAGCTTTGTAAACTCTTTCATGCCAGTCGAATGATTTGTTCCATGAGGCCAAGGTCCTAAGCCTTCAAGCTCAGAAAATCAATCTAGTCAGATTTTAGGTTATGTGTCTTCTCTGAATAAATATGCTGGTACACACTTCTCTGTATGCAAAGACACATATAAAGTATAGCTAATTCTATTTGTGCACACATATATACACACCCTCTCACACCCACACATGTGTATACCTATGCACATATGTGACCATGCACTCATTTTCTGGTTATTGTTGGCGTTGTTACCAAATTATATATGTCGTGTTCTTTTGCACAGACATCCTTGTCTCTTGTGTGAGTCCTAGAAGCATGATTTGCTTTGGTTAAGCTGTGCTTATTCCACCCACATTTGGTGCTACGTTTCTCTGCACCAAAAACAACAAGCATCTTTGATCTAGAGTCCTGGTGTGGCACTGAACTGCAAGGTCGGTTTGAACCGCAAGGTCGGGGGTTCAAGCTCACCAGGTGCTCCTTGGAAACCCTATACAAGCTCGTTATGAGTCCGAACTGACTCGATGAGACTTAACAACAACAACATGACTTAGAGAGTGAATTCTCCCTTCTCCTTACCCACACCTGGTAACCACTAATGAACACTGATCTCTGTATGTATATCTAATCTTATCAAAATGGAGTCATACAATGTTTGGCCTTATGTGATTGACTAATTTCTCTTAGCATTGTGTCCTCATATTCCTGTTACTTTTCTTTCTCCAGGAATCAACTCAATTATATCACGGAAGAACTTAGAAACCCTTACAGGTAACAAAGCTGAGTCGGGGCAGGAGGCAGTGACTAGGCAAGCATATTTCTCGTCTCCTGGGGCGGCGGGGGAGTGGAATTTCTTCCTCCCATTAGTCAATGACTCATTCCCGGACAAGTGGATGGCTTTTTTTTTTGAACTTATTATACACTGGAGTCCTGGTGTGGCACTGTAGGATAAAGTTAGTTTTGAACTTCAAGGTTGGTGGTTCAAACCCACCAGTCACTCCTTGGAAACCCTGTGCAGAGTCGTTATGGATCAGAACCAAACACTTAAAAGCAACAATATGTTGATTTGAGTTTGGGTTGGTTTGAGGCAGTGGATGGTTGCTAAGATGAAGAGAGACTGAACTTCCCTTAAAAACCAGTTGTTGTAACGTTCTTTGTGACTTCCTAATGTTTTCAGTGACTGGCTGTTTAAGATGATTATCATCAGGCCTTTCTTCCAAGGTGTCTCTGGGTGGACTTGAACCTGGAACCTTTCAGTTAGTAGCCTAACACATTAACCACCCAGGGTCTCCTTAACCCCTTTCATTCTGGCTCATTTTGCTTTATAAACAACAGCATTTTACTGTACTAGAGTCTGAGAGAGGGAGAGTTTGCCATTAAAAGTGACTCATATTTCACAAGCCCCACTTGAGGGAGGACTTCAAGGGGGCACCTGTGACCTCAGCCCACCCCGGGAGCAGGTGAAGGGCTGATCAGGTGGGTGGTGGGAGAGAAGGAATGATTGAAAACCACCATCTCACATGTCTCTCATGGGATGTTCGGGTCTGATCTTGGGCTTCTGTGTCACTGACCCTTCCAGGAACCTGCCCCTGTCCATCGTCATTGGGATCCCACTGGTGATGGTGTGTTACATCCTAATGAACATTTCCTACTTCACTGTGATGACCACGACCGAACTCCTCCAGTCCCAGGCTGTGGCTGTGGTGAGAACCAGGGCCCTCTGCTGGGGAGGAGGGATAGGCAAGGGGAAGCCCCTCGGGAGAGGTGGTTGTTGGTAGTTATGTGCCATGGAGTCGGTTCCAACTAACAGCGACCCTGTACAGGATTTCCAAGGCTGTAAATCTTTATGGGAGCAGAAAGCCTCATCTTTCTCCCACGGAACAGCTGGTGGTTTTGAACTGCTGACCTTGTGGTTCACAGCCCGATTTGTAACCACTACGCTACCAGAGAGGAGGATGTGTTAAACTGAAGAGAGGTGAGGTGGGAACTAAAAATCCAGGAGGCTAGGAGTCTTGGTGAGGCGCTGCAGGATAAGGCACTGGACTGCAAGGTCAGTTTGAACCACAAGGTTGGTAATTCAAATTCACCAGCCGCTCCTTGGAAACTGTTTACAGGGTCGCTATGAGTCAAAACTGACTTAAAAACAGCCCCAAATACCCCTGTCAATGAGAGGCCAGGGGTGTGCGTGAGACCCTCTGCAGATGGAGGTGGAGAATAGAGCTGGATTTCACCAGGGTTGGGGGTTTTGACAGACAAGTATGAAGGGGAGAGAAAGTGCAAGGTGGTTGAAGGGCGGTGATTGTAGCATTGGAGTCAACTTCCACAACTTAAAGAAGGAAAGGACAAGAGGGAGGGGTGGAAAAGCAGTGGGATCCGTGTACTGGAAGTCTGCTGGAGTTGGGGTACCACAGAAAATGAGTTAGAAATAGAGAATGAGGGGACTGCAATGGGAGACTGGAGGAAATGCAGTTTGGGTTAACAGCGAGGTCACTGACCATGAGAGTTGGTGGCTAAGGTGGACTGGAGAACAAGGCTATTCCAAGTGAGGAAGGCCACGAAGTGAGAGGCCAGTGTAAGAGAAGGATATTGAGATGGTAGGGAGGAGTGGAGGAGAGGTTCCTCTTACCATCAGAAGATCCTGAGAAAGTCTTAAAATGACGAAGGGTTCTCTCCTTTCTCCTTTCCTCTCCACTAGAGGAAATCACAGAGCCTGAGCCCAAAGTGGGAAGGTGGGGATCCAGGACCTTTGAGAAGGCGCAGTGGCTTTGGGGGACCAATGGCTCATGGGGGCTATGAGAGACCCTCAGGATTCATCTCACTTCTCTCACCAGACGTTTGGGGACCGTGTTCTCTACCCAGCCTCTTGGGTCGTTCCACTTTTTGTGGCATTTTCTACCATCGGTGCTGCCAACGGGACCTGCTTTACGACGGGCAGGTAGGGTACTCAACAGCCACACACTCTACCAGGGTGGGCAGAGGGCAGCAAGGCCAATTTCACACTTGAGGAAGATAAACCCCTAAAGTCCTCAGGGCTCTGCCAGGTTAAACCTCTCATGGCTTACAGAGGATACTAGGCGATATCTCTCCATCATCCCTCTATCGACTCACCACCTATATATTCATTTATCTATCCATCCATTCACCATCTATCTATATTTCCATCCATCCACCATCTATCTATCCATTCACCATCTATATATCCATTTATCTATCCATCCATCCATCCATCATTCCACCATCTATATTATCCATCCATCCACCATCTATCTTATCTATCCATTCATCCATCCATGTACTACCTATCCATTTATCCATCCATCCACCATCTATATATCTATCCAATTATCTATTCACCATCTATCCATTCATCCATCCATCTAGCTATCATCTATTAATCCACCCATTTATCATCTATCTATCTATCCATCCATCATTCTGCCATCATATCTATCCATTCACCCAGCCATCTACCACCTATCCATTTATCCATCCATCCATCCATCCATCCACCATGTCTTATCTATCCATCCATCCATCCACCATTTAATCTATCCATTCATCCATCATCAATCCATCACATATCTATCTATCTAAAGTAGTTGACTTGCCATTGGGTGACTGACAAGTCTGAAATCTGTAGGATAAGGAGGCAGGCTGGAAACTCAGGCAGGAGATGACGTTTCAGTCTTGAAGGAAGTTCTCCTCCAGGAAATCTCAGATTTTGCTGTTTAGGCTGTTGAAAAACTGACTGAGTGTAGCTGACACCATTGAAGGCAATCACCTTTATTTAAAGTCAACTGATTATTGAGCCTTTGTGGCACAGTACTTGGCTTCTAGCAGAAAGGTTGACTGTTCTAACCCACCAGCCACATCATGGAAACAAGATGTGACAGTGTGCTTCTGTAAAAATGTACACCTTGGAAGCCCTCTGGGGCAGTTCTGCTGTCTGTGGTACTGCTGTGAGTCAGAATTGACTTGACCGCAGTGGGTTCAGTTTGGGTTTGGGTCCAACGTAGCCACGTTGATAAAACTGTCACAGCCTTCACTGTGCTTTTACTGTGCATGTTCCTAATGAATAATGATACTGAGCATGTTTTCAAGTGTTTATTAGCCATGCATGTGTCTTCTTTGGTAATATGTTTATTCAAACCTCTTACCCGCTTTAAAAATTGGGTTGTATGGAAACTTACTAGTGTGTGGTAAGAGTTTTTTCCTGCTGGGTACAAGTCCTTCATCAATTATAGGATTTGCACATATTTTCTTCTAGTCTCTTTTTTTCTTTTTGCATTTTAAATCTTTTTTTAAAAATTTAAATTTATTTTGTTGGTTTTGCTGAGAACATACATAGCAAAACATATACCAGCTAATTCAACAGCTTCGATTTGGGCTGTTTAATGACATTGATTTCGCTCTTCAAGTTGTGCATCCGTTTTCAGCCTCCTTTTCTGAGTTGTTCTTTCCCCAGTAACATAAATTTACTGCCACCTCAGGTTCCTGTCTAATTTTTCTACTTGTCATTGTCAGTTTGATCCTATTCTAGTTCTTAAAAGAGCATAATGCTCAAGATAGGCACATTTACTAATTAAATCCAACTATTGTTTAAGTTAAGGAGCTCTGGTAGCGTAGTGGTTACGAATCAGGCTGTTAACCTCAGGGCAGCAGTTCAAAACTACCAACTGTTTGTTCCGTGGGAGAAAGAGGAGGCTTTCTGCTCCCGTAAAGATTTACAGCCTCAGAAACCCTGTACAGGGTCGCTATGAGTCGGAACCGACTCCACAGCACATAACAACAACAATTGTTTAGGTTTAAGAAGAAAGATTTCAGAGGATGTATTTGGCTTAAGGTTTAAAGATGAACTCAGGACAGTAGTTTCAGGGGTTCATTTAGGTTCCCTGACTCCAGAAAGTCTGGGGTTCATGAGAATTCCCAATTCTATTCTTTATTTTCCCCCGTTGATCAGGATCAGGACTCTTCTACACAGTCTTTAATCAAAATGTTTGGTTATGGTAACCAGACACCATCCACTTCTTTCTGTCTCATGGCAAAGGAGGCAGCTGTTTATGGAGACAGTCACACAGTCATATCTTTCTCCAATTTCAGACTCTCCTTCCTCTATTCCTAGTGAATAGAGACTAATTGCTGTGCCTTGGATAGCTGTTTGCAAGCTTTTATGACCCCATATACTACATATCAAATAAGGAGACAGAAGAGAAGCACTAGACATGCTATTAGGACAATTTACTGGGATGTCCCATGAAATCATGATCCTCAACCTCCAAACCAAGGATTCAAATTCCATGAGGTGTCTGGTTGTACATAATCAGTCTTGGTAGCTTCTTCCTTCCCTCCTTCCTTTCTTGTCATGATTGTGAATGCTTCTATCACACAATTCTTGCCACTTCAACTCTTTACAGGTGACCAATTATTTGACTGCAATGCCAATGACCGGCTGTGCCTTCTACGCTTCATCAATCTTTCCCTCATTGTTAACCACCTTTCCTCTGTCCCTCCCTCTCTCCCTTGTAACCACTTAAGAAACTTGGCTTTCTACACATTTACCTTTTCTTTTTACTTAAATTAAGTTATACAATATTTGTCCTCTCACGGTTGACTTATTTCACTCAGCGTGTCTTCCAGCTCCATCCGTATTGTAGCATGTATCAAGATTTCATTTCTTCTACTGGGTGAGTTCTAGCGTGGCTTTGTAGGATAAGTGAGGTCAGCGGATCAAATTCGCCAGCCACTCCTCAGAAACCCTATATAGCGTCGATATGAGTCAGAACCAATTTGGCAGCACTTAACAACTGACTGAGTAGTATTCCATTAGATATACGCGTATTTTGTTTATTCATTTGCGTTGGTATGCATTTAGTTTGCTCCATCTTTTGACTACTGTGAATAGACACCTGGTCTACAATCTGTTTTCACGTTATTTTGGTACATACCTAAGAGTAAAGTTACCAGATCACGGGGTGGTTCTACTGCTCAATTTTTGAAGAAGCATCACACCATTTTCCATAATAGCTGCACCATTTTGCATTCTTACTAGCAATAAATAAGGATTCCAAGTTCCCCACTGCCACTCCAGTATTTGTTGTATGTTTGTTTTATCTTAACTATTCTGTTGTTATGTGCCATTGAGTCGGTTGTGACGCATAGTCCTGAGGCTGTAAACCTTTACAGGAGCCGAAAGCCTCATCTTTCTCCCTTGGAGTGGTTGGTGGACTTGAACTGCTTACACACTTTGGTTATAGTCCAATGTGTAACTAGCTACGCCGCTAGGACTCCTCCAGCCTATTGTTGTTGAGGGCCATTGAGTCAGTCCTGACTCACAGTGATCCTGTATAGGGTTTCCATAGAGTGGCTGCTGAGTTTGAACTGCTGACCCTGTGGTTCAAACTGATCTTGTAGTCCAGTGCTTTATCCCACAGCGCCACACTAGGAACTCCCTGAGCCTAGTGGGAGTAAAATCTTATCTCGCTATGGTTGTGATTTGCATCTCTTTGGTGGTTAATGATGCTGAATGTCTTCTCCTCATGTGACTGGTCATGTGAATGTCCTATTTGGTGAACTGTCTATTCCAGCCCTTTGCCCGTTTTATAATTTGATTCTTTGTCTTTTTCTTGATAAAGTTTTATGTAGTGTTTGGTTATAGATTCCTGTTAGATAAATGGTTTCTGAAGATAATTCACACCATCAGTAGTTTGTCTTTTCACCATTTTTCGTTAAGTCTTTTGAGGTCTCATTTAATTTGTCTTTTGTCCCTTATGCATGTTATCATATTAGATAATCCATTGTTAAGACTGATAACACTGCCCCTACTTTAATCTTCTAAAAATTTTGGGTTTTAGTTTGCACATTTATGTCCTTAAACTTATTTTGAGTTTGTCTTTGTGTATGATGTGAGGCATTAATCCTGAATCACTTTCATGTCTATGGAATCCAATCTTCCCAGCACCGTTTTATCGAAGTAACTCATTGTACTTCCCCAATGAATGGACTCAGCACCCTTGTAAAAAAATCAATTGACTATAGATGTTTGGTTCTTTTTCTCAATTTTATTTCATTGGCCTATGATGTGACTGTTGTTATATTAGTAGCAGGCTGTTTTGAATACTGTGCCTATAGAGTATATTTTTAAATCAATGTGAGTTCTACTACTTTGTTCTACTCTTTCAACATTGCTTTAGTTATTTGGGACCTCTTACCATTTCATATGAAGTTGAAGATCGGTTTTTCTCTTTCTATAAAGGCTGTTCGAATTTTGATTGGAATTGTGCTAAATGTGTATCAATGAACATGAAACACCTTTCCACTCACAAGCTTTTAAGACCACAGTCGCTATTCAATAAAGTAGGATGTAGAACACTGGCTTTGTGGACTATGCTATGCCAATTGGCCTTGGTGTCTCCTGAGACTATAGATATTGTCTTCTAATTACTGCCTTCACTGTATCCCATAAGGCTTGGTATGTGGTGCTTTCATTTTCATTTGACTCTAAGAAATGTGTGATTTCTGTTTTGACTTCTTGCTTGATCCATTGGTAGTTTAATTGTGTGTCATTTAATTTCCATGTTTAGATAGTTTCCTGGGTTTTTTCTGTGATTGATTTCTAACTATTCCATTGTGATCAGAGAAAATACTTTGTATGATTTCAATTTTTTAAAAATTTACTGAGACTTGCGTTGTGACCTAACATGTGGTCTTATCCTGGACAATGATCCATGTGCACTGGAGAATGTCTGTTGTGCTGCTTTTGGGTGGAGAGTTCAATAGAAGTTTGTGAAGTTGAGTTGGTTTATCCTGTCATTCAGGTCCATGGATTCCTTGTTGATCCTCTTTCTAGATGGTCTGCCCAGTATTGAAAGCTCCAACTCTGATTGTAGTTCTGTTTCTCCCTTCAATTCTGTCAATATTTACTTTATACACTTAGGT